GTCCCAGAAATGATCCTGGAAGACTACCTTGGCATTGGGCAATGTACCTGTTGGTATTGGGCAATACCATGTTTAACTTGGGAACTCCATTTGATTGCTGGGTCTTTCTTTGGAGATTTGATTGAGATGCACTTGTTGTGGTTCAGTATTTGCTGGATTCTATGTTCCATTTGATTTTGTATTCCCGCATCTTCAGTTCGAGGTTTGGCTTGAGTTGCAAATTATTTGATTTTGTGTTTGTTGGATTCGATGTCCAATTGTTGTTGTATTTCTGGGTCTTTCTTTGGATATTTGATTTGAGTTGCACTTGTTGTGGTTCAGTATTTGCTGGATTCTATGTTCCAGTTGATTGTGTATTCCCGGATCTTCAGTTCGAGGTTTGGCTTGAGTTGCAAATTATTGGATTTTGTGTTTGTTGGATTCGATGTCCAATTGTTATTGTATTGCTGGGTCTTTCTTTGGATTTGATTGAGATGCACTTGTTGTGGTTCAGTATTTGCTGGATTCTATGTTCCAATTGTTATTGGATCTTCAGTTCGAGGTTTGGCTTGAGTTGCAAATTATTTGATTTTGTGTTTGTTGGATTCGATGTCCAATTGTTATTGTATTGCTGGGTCTTTCTTTGGAGATTTGATTGAGATGCACTTGTTGTGGTTCAGTATTTGCTGGATTCTATGTTCCATTTGATTTTGTATTCCCGGATCTTCAGTTCGAGGTTTGGCTTGAGTTGCAAATTATTTGATTTTGTGTTTGTTGGATTCGATGTCCAATTGTTATTGTATTGCTGGGTCTTTCTTTGGAGATTTGATTGAGATGCACTTGTTGTGGTTCAGTATTTGCTGGATTCTATGTTCCATTTGATTTTGTATTCCCGGATCTTCAGTTCGAGGTTTGGCTTGAGTTGCAAATTATTGATTTTGTGTTTGTTGGATTCGATGTCCAATTGTTGTTGTATTGCTGGGTCTTTCTTTGGAGATTTGATTGAGATGCACTTGTTGTGGTTCAGTATTTGCTGGATTCTATGTTCCATTTGATTTTGTATTCCTGGATCTTCAGTTCGAGGTTTGGCTTGAGTTGCAAATTATTGGATTTTGTGTTTGTTGGATTCGATGTCCAATTGTTGTTGTATTGCTGGGTCTTTCTTTGGAGATTTGATTGAGTTGCACTTGTTGTGGTTCAGTATTTGCTGGATTCTATGTTCCATTTGATTTTGTATTCCTGGATCTTCAGTTCGAGGTTTGGCTTGAGTTGCAAATTATTTGATTTTGTGTTTGTTGGATTCGATGTCCAATTGTTGTTGTATTGCTAGGTCTTTCTTTGGAGATTTGATTTGAGTTGCACTTGTTGTGGTTCAGTATTTGCTGGATTCTATGTTCCATTTGATTTTGTATTCCTGGATCTGCAGTTCGAGGTTTGGCTTGAGTTGCAAATTATTTGATTTTGTGTTTGTTGGATTCGATGTCCAATTGTTGTTGTATTGCTGGGTCTTTCTTTGGAGATTTGATTGAGTTGCACTTGTTGTGGTTCAGTATTTGCCGGATTCTATGTTCCATTTGATTTTGTATTCCTGGATCTTCAGTTCGAGGTTTGGCTTGAGTTGCAAATTATTTGATGTTGTGTTTGTTGGATTCGATGTCCAATTGTTGTTGTATTGCTAGGTCTTTCTTTGGAGATTTGATTTGAGTTGCACTTGTTGTGGTTCAGTATTTGCTGGATTCTATGTTCCATTTGATTTTGTATTCCTGGATCTGCAGTTCGAGGTTTGGCTTGAGTTGCAAATTATTTGATTTTGTGTTTGTTGGATTCGATGTCCAATTGTTGTTGTATTGCTGGGTCTTTCTTTGGAGATTTGATTGAGATGCACTTGTTGTGGTTCAGTATTTGCTGGATTCTATGTTCCATTTGATTTTGTATTCCTGGATCTTTAGTTCGAGGTTTGGCTTGAGTTGCAAATTATTGGATTTTGTGTTTGTTGGATTCGATGTCCAATTCTTGTTGTATTGCTGGGTCTTTCTTTGGAGATTTGATTGAGTTGCACTTGTTGTGGTTCAGTATTTGCTGGATTCTATGTTCCATTTGTTTTTGTATTCCCGGATCTTCAGTTCGAGGTTTGGCTTGAGTTGCAAATTATTGGATTTTGTGTTTGTTGGATTCGATGTCCAATTGTTGTTGTATTGCTGGGTCTTTCTTTGGATATTTGATTTGAGTTGCACTTGTTGTGGTTCAGTATTTGCTGGATTCTATGTTCCATTTAATTTTGTATTCCTGGATCTTCAGTTCGAGGTTTGGCTTGAGTTGCAAATTATTTGATTTTGTGTTTGTTGGATTCGATGTCCAATTGTTGTTGTATTTCTGGGTCTTTCTTTGGATATTTGATTTGAGTTGCACTTGTTGTGGTTCAGTATTTGCTGGATTCTATGTTCCATTTAATTTTGTATTCCTGGATCTTCAGTTCGAGGTTTGGCTTGAGTTGCAAATTATTTGATTTTGTGTTTGTTGGATTCGATGTCCAATTGTTGTTGTATTTCTGGGTCTTTCTTTGGAGATTTGACTTGAGTTGCACTTGTTGTGGTTCAGAATTTGCTGGAATCTATGTTCCGTTTGATTTTGCACTCCTGGATCTTCAGTTCGAGGTTTGGCTTGAGTTGCAAATTATTTGATTTTGTGTTTGTTGGATTCGATGTCCAATTGTTGTTGTATTGCTGGGTCTTTCTTTGGAGATTTGATTGAGATGCACTTGTTGTGGTTTAGTATTTGCTGGATTCTATGTTCCATTTGATTTTGTATTCCTGGATCTTCAGTTCGAGGTTTGGCTTGAGTTGCAAATTATTGAATTTTGTGTTTGTTGGATTCGATGTCCAATTGTTGTTGTATTGCTGGGTCTTGCTTTGGAGATTTGATTGAGATGCACTTGTTGTGGTTCAGTATTTGCTGGATTCTATGTTCCATTTGATTTTGTATTCCTGGATCTTCAGTTCGAGGTTTGGCTTGAGTTGCAAATTATTGGATTTTGTGTTTGTTGGATTCGATGTCCAATTGTTGTTGTATTGCTGGGTCTTTCTTTGGAGATTTGAGTTGAACTTGTTGTGATTCAGTATTTGTTGGATTCGACGTTCCATTTGATTTTGTATTGCTGGATCTTCCTTTTGAGGTTTGTTGTGAGTTGTAATGGATTTGATTGAGTATGTCTTGAATGTAGTTGTTCATTTGACTTAGTATTTGTTGGATCAGGTATCCGTTTGATTTGGTATTGCCGGATCTTCATTTTAAGGGTTTGATTTGAGTTGCATTTGTTTTGATTTAGTTTTTTTTTTTTTTTTTTTTTTTTTTTTTTTATGTCCATTTGGCTTACTGTGGCTCTATCATCAATCTTCATATTGACCTCAGGTGCAGTTTGGTTGATTTAGCATTTGTTGGATTCAATTGTCCATTTGATTTAGAATGGCTGGATTCTGCATTGTTATATTCCACTTGAGCTCACCTGATTTGCTTTAGTAGTTGTCGGATTCGATGTTTCAGTTGACTTTGTATTTGTTGGATTTGACATTCTATTTGATTTAGCATTTGTTGGTTGCACAAAATGAGTCAGCGTAACATGGATGCGCAAATGTGCCTGGCTGCGGGGGTGGGCACAGCCGCAGTGTTGGTTGTTTCTTCACCTCTCTGAATTTTCTTTTGGGGGGGCAAGTTGGGGGAGGACCGGCCAAATTCAATGGGAGCAACATTTTTTATTTTTGTTTTTAATTTTGTTTCGGGGGTGTTGTTGCAACTTGTTCACATTGTTAGCATTGGAGGGGTCCAGCCGGCCTGGGCTGGTTCGATGGGATGAATAATCCTCCGTCAACACTGGGGTTCAAACCGCCATGTTTGGGGGCTCCTTTGCTTTGACACGAGCCAGCTGTAACTTGCTTGTGGCAAGCTCACGGGTAAAGCAAGATTGGTGAAGGAAGGTCCTCAATTGATTTTAACTGCACCTTTTATGTTGTCAAAGCTGTTCTTGCGAGTGGTTTCCCTAAAAGCCACTATTTGGAGGGAAAGTGTGAGGACGTCACTTCAGTGGACCCAGCAAAAATGGTTGCGGTCGGAGCCCTGGATGGATGGCTTTTCCTTCAGGAGTCTGGTGAGTCTGACTCATTAGCATAGGTGTCCTTTGGTTAAAAAAAATACACCCAGCATAGACCCCAAATAGCGAAAGACTGCACCTACAGCAGCACCCCTCACTGCATGGCCCAAAGCACAGCTGCACTAGCACCCCAAACTGCACGCACCGTCACCAGCACCTCAAACAGCACCCAAGCAGCACCCCAAACTGCATGCCCGCTAGCACCCGGCCGTCAATCTCGCAAAAACCTGCTCCAGCACCCCAAACTGCATGCCTCGTAGCATCCTGCCGTCAATCTCGCAAAGTTGCGCCCGCACCACCGCCAGCACCCCAAAACGAGCACCAGCAGCCCAAGCACCCCAAACTGCATGTCCCCGAGCACCGAGCCATCAAATTCGCAAGTCACTTTCCGCTCTTTATTAGAAGCTAGAACCCCTGTAGCTTTCAGCTGTGTGGGGAATGATGGCACTGGTTTAGATGGGGCTTATTCCATTTACCAGGGCCATCTATTTTTCCAAAAGGCCACCTATGGTCATTAGAGTTCGCCTGTCTGCTTGGTAAGAAAAGGGGCATCCCTGAAATTGGACCTTTGAAGGCGAAACATGTTGGGCATGTTGGGGGCACATGTTCTATCCCACAACGGAAAGCACACCGGAAACCACTCGATGCGAATTTTGGGAGGTGACCGTTCAACACCCAGAGTTCCGTGGTGCCACCAAAATATCCCCCATTCCAGTCAACATGCTTCAAGCAAATATATGCATAAAGTCTCATAAAGTCTAGCCAACATCTCTTTAGGGAGGCTTTTTGGTGGGGGCTAGGGGGGAAGAGGTCATTGACATTTGTTTGGCGTTCTTGGCAATTGGGCTGCCCAACCTGACGTTTAAAAACACCAAGCTCTTGGAACCGACTTGGCTTTTCATTTTGGGTCTCGCGTTTGGGGATGGCGCCCAGGCGTGAGCAGCCACCAGGTTCTGCTTCTCCTCTCCCAGGGCTGCGCAGGAGCGCAGCTGGCGCTGCAGCCAGCTAGGCACTCCAGCCAGGCGCGGATTGGGAGGGTCTGGCCGCCTAACTCCAAAGGGAGCTGGAGTCTCCATGACCCTAGAAAAATGGGTCCATGACCCCATTATTTTGGGTAGTGATCCAATTTTTGAAGGGTCATGGAGACCAAGCTTGGCCCAACCCGAAGAGCGCTTGGGACTCCAACTCGAAGGCGAAGTGAGGCCTTGTGTCCGGGGTGGGCGGGTGGGAGGAGCTTATGTCCTCAACAAATCGAAGCTTGAGACGATTCAAGCTACGCACTCATGCAGAAAGGTGCGGGATGCAGAATCGTTTGTACCTTGATTATGCTTCGTGGCCAAAGTGGAGCCAGTTTGCTTTTGACGGTCCTTGTTGACGCGGTTGACGGAAGAGCCCCAGCATCACCAGGGTTTTAGTCAAGAAAATGAATTTCCGCATGCCAAAAGGAGGTGTCGCTCTCGTTTGTTGACTAAAGTGGTCCACACACCCCGCGGTTTCCAGACTAGACTTTTAAGCGCAGTTGGCGGAAATAGAGATTCTTTGCAAACGAATTACGAAATTGCATGCATGACTTGGTTTGCTTTCGATTGTCTTCGATCACCCCCAGCATCTTCATAGTTTCACAAAGAAAACGATGTTCCGCTTCCTAGAAGTAAGTGTAGCTTACTAAATGCTAGATATAGATGTCGCCGTAGCCCAATTTGGTCGACCCCGCATGACCCGTGCTTTATCAAGGAAGCCGCCTTTCCCGAAGGCTAAAAAGTCGCAAACCAAGATGGCGCAGCGTCCGCAAATGTGAACTAAGTAGCCAGGACCGGAACTGTCTTGGCGTTCGAATGTTTTTTGTTTTTTTTTGCGAAGAGGCCGGGAAGTGCACCAAGACTTTGGCAAGAAGAGCTATGTCAAAGAGAATGAAGCAACACTCACGGATTTGCGTGAGGGTAAATGTCCAGACTAGCTCCTGAAGGACGTGGCGACACCCTCCCAGATTTGCGGTCAACAACTTGGCGCACAAATGTCGGAGTGCACGAGAGGTGCCTTTCAAAACATTTGATGTGGATGTGGGCGTCTTTGATTTCTAGCCGCAAAGCTTCAGTGGCGGCATTGTTGTTGAGAAAACCAATTGTGTGCAGCCCAATTCATAGCCCCGACACTCCAAGATAGTATTCTTTATAGGCCTAGGATTTGATGGACGGGGGAGGTTGGGGGTCTACCTCGCCTGCAAAAACAATAGAGCTTGAAACAATATCCTTCTGGATCTCTCCTTCGGGTTCCATGAGGTGTCCAAAAAGGCCTCAGAGTACGCCCCTCCGTGCCGATTTTTCAAGGTGGCGCTGGTGGCAGACAATCCCTTCCAAGCTGGAAGCGCTTTGACCGGGGAGTGGCAGGCGCGGCAGTTGCTGGCACAAGGCCGGGGCAGAGGAATCTTGCTATGGTCGTGTCCATTTTTCTCACTCCCTGAGTTCCTGAGCTTGAAGCTTTTGGGTATGACCATGATAGTGGCAAACTAGCTGTTAGGGCTTTTTCCAGCCAACCCACTCAGGAAGTGAGTTTTTGGGGAAGCCCCTTGGCTGTAAACAGACTAAAGGGACACCAGGTTGGAGATCTCCCATTTTAAAGACAATCCCATGGCTCCTGTTTTCGTGGTTGCTATCCAGGCCCCTTTTGGGAGTGGCCAGTTTTATTTGGGAAGCCCCCCAAACAAAAAGCGAAAACTGGCGTGGGTGAACTTAATTCACTTTGGAGATTAATCCGGAGGAGCGTACGAATTCGGGATGGTTGCCCTTTTAGTAAGACAATGCTCCATTTTGGGCATGTGTTGTTTGGCTTTGTTACTTTTGTTTGACTGCCGCGTTTGTTGGTTGCTTGCCTTGTCTTGGTTTTAAAACACGCGCTGCGGCTGCGCTAGACTGCTCACCATGGGTTGGAAGCTTCTTAGCCACCCCGCACTGGCGGTCCAAGCACCTCTTGGATTGAGGAAATTGAGGAAGGCTTGAGAAACTAGGAGTTGTTTGGACGAGGTAGGCCCCGTTGTGGGCAAGACACCTTGAGGCGACCAACTTTGAAGCGGTCGGAGTCCGGCCCCTCACGCCCAGGCTTCAACCTGCAATACTTTGGCGATGCCACCGAAGAGCAGGCTGGACAATGCAACGCTTGCATTGGGACATCCTGGGGGCACCATGCTTGCATACCACGGCGATGTTGGTTTTCTTGGGTTCAAAGTGTTGGGGCAGAAGTTTGGTAGAAGGTGTGACGGCAGCTTACTTGCCCAACGCGGTGAACAGTAGCGTCAAGTGTAGTGATACAGGACACATGACTCCTTCATAGTTTGCCAACTTGAGTGGCCTTGTACATATGTGATTATTTTGTTCGAATGGTCATTGCAAGGTTTTCCTAAGGATCCCTTTACCTGTGTTTTTTTCTTAAAGGGAAACCAAAAGGACGACCAAGTTGCCATTTGACTCACTCCGTGAGTTCCTGGACTTTACTTACTGTTTGGGTTTGGACCGCTTTCGTGGTAAACACCAAAAGTGTAGGCGTTCTGTTTTGGCCAAATCTACTCAGGACGGCGGATGTTCATTTTTTCGGTTTCCCTGGATCCCCTCTCTGTACCAGAGTTTTGCTTGTGCCGCATTGTCCTGGCAATGTCCAGGTCGATACACATCATGTGAGTTGTCGTCCCGGTTTTCCCTTTGGTTCCCGACTGAAAACCCCAAGTTGGCTTGCCAGGTGCCTGTGCGCTTGCAGCCGGCCCTCGGCTTCGGAGCCTTGCGGCTGGCGCCCTGGCAGGTGCCGGCTCCGCCGGCGATTTGTTTGGATCTGCGTGGACCCTCAAACTGCCTATAGAAAACCGGGATTTCACCCAGAAGTTTGGGGCAAGCCATTTTGTTAAGGGGAGTTTGAGAGCCCAGGTTGCTCGAATTTTGTGCATTCTTGGTTCTCGACTTCGTGCTTGATTTGTTAGTTGTTTGGGCGGGTTCGCTTTTACAGTGTGTGGTTTCATCAGAGGCAACGCTGCCGTCGAGACCGGATCAATGGAGATCACCCCCCCTCCCCCACTCCCACACGCAGGGCTGTGGAGATCTGCAGGCGAGGTTGGGTGGGCGGAGGGCTTTGGGCCAGAGCGCATGAGTCGGTTTGGTGCATTTTGCCAAGGGATGTTAGGACTTTAACTTTTTGCCAACTAATGGGTGTTCCATTAATTAAACCACTAAAAGTTAAGCTTTTAGCAGGGGAGCAGAACGCAACCGAGTTTTCTTGGCGGGACCCTGGACCCTTAGGGTAACCGGATTAGATAACCTCCTATCCGAGTCACTGGATCAAGCAATAGCAGCTCAAACACGTCTTAATCACAGGGGGGTTGACCGGATGGAGTTTCATGCCCACTTGCTGCGCCACTGTATTCACATGTCATGACTTGATGGTATTCCTTTGGATGTTTCTTTCGGTTGATTTATTTGTCATGAAGTGGCCAGTCCGTATCGGGTTGTAAATGTTGTTGTTTTTTCTACAGGCTTCTGCAAAAGATACATGTAAAAGAAGATGCTTCAAATCAGCAGATACACATTATGTCTTTTTCTCTAAATGTCCAAATCCCAAGATTTGGCCCACTATTGGCCATTGTGGCGGTTTGACTACCTTGTTATTTGACTACCGTAATGCCAATATCATAGCACTATTTCACTTATTATTTGGCTTGCTTTTAACTTTTAACGAGAAAATGAGCTGTCCCTGACCCACTTTGACAAAAATCAGCGAGCAAACGCCAGAGGTTCCATGCCTATTCTTTGGCTTGCTTGCAGGGACCAGCAAACGAGGGCTTTGCCAGAAATCAGCGAACAGCCTGAGAGTTTTCCAACCCCCAGCCGCTTCAACCGTCCACGGGGCGGTTCGCTTGAAAGGGCTTTGCCTGGGCGCACCTCTCCGAAGAAGCGCTGCCCTGCCTGCTGGAAGGCCGAGAAAGGGTTCCAGGTGCCTTTGGTTTCCCACACCCGGCCAGTTTGGGGGGTCCGACAGATCCATGGCAAAATCCGCGGAGCTTTGAGACAGACAGGTTTTCCACCAAAAACCAATGGAAGTGGCAAAGGGGCCTGTGTAAAAGAAGCTTTTCAACCCACCAGGGAGAGAGAGCGAGAGAGTATCGAAGCATTTGACAGGGGTCCTTACATTCCCTTTTTCAGGTCTAACATCTCACATGTTGGGCAGTTTGTCCGGGTGATGTTGCAGGGACATGTTAGGAAGCCTGTTTGATTCTGTGTGTTGCCAGGATTCCCCACTTTTCGGACGCATAACTCAACGCGCCCAACTTGTTGCCAGGCACACCGAAATATTCGGCATGGTCGTCCCTAGCCTTGTTTTCGCGGCCGGACAATCCTGAAGATCCCAAACGTTCGGATCAAATCAGCACTGCTTGGCAAATCAACAATACTTGGCGGGCCAAACAAGCTCGGGTCACCCGAGATGAAGGTTTTGACTTAGGGACTCCTTGGCTCGGGTTCGATGCAGCACCCTCCGCCTCCTTTAAAGGCATGTTATTATCCAAGACCCCCCACCAAGTTTCATGTCAGATTGTATCCCAGGGATTTGGGGGATTTGGGGGGGACAAAACGTTGGACCAACCTGTTTGCCCATTGCGCAAGTTTGAGCCTACATTCCATACTGAGCCTTTCTTCCTTGGTGCCCCCGACCATACTCACCATACAGACCATGCTTACCATGCTCACCATACCATACTGGCCGTACGGACCATACTGACCATGGTACAGATCTGACATACTCACTTCGGAGGCGGAATCCAAGTGGAGCAGCTCACTCTGCAGCTAACCAACTCCACATGGCCGCCCGGAGTGCCATGCGTGCGTTTTGTTGCTTGGGGGGGCGAGACCTCTTTTGGTTGGGTCAAATGCAAACAAGGGAGCCCAGCGTGCCTCTTTGGGGCTTCCTCTAACGGAGCTTCCTCTGGAAATGGAAATGGGAAAGTTTGGTTGGACGTTCAAGTTACTCTGCAGCACCTTTGGGTGCGAGTATCCCTTCCCTGATTTCAGATTTCTTATTGGGACTGCGGTGCACCGAGCGGGGGGCATTTTAGCGTCGCCCCGAAGGCTGTCAGAGTTTCCTTTGGAGTGGGTGTGAGAAGGTAGCGCGCTTTCGGAGTCGGATCGCTATGCAGGCTGGCCTTCCGTAGATCAATGCCATGCAAGGTAGGCAGGCCACTATAGCAGGTAACCTGCAACTGTCCTTTTAGTTCCTAGTGGGTGGCTCCCTTGGCTACCTATGCAAAGAAATGGCATCACTGCGACTAGGCGGTATTCGGGGGAGTCGGGTGGCCCTTTCTTAGGATGGGGTCCAATCACAGCGTTTGCTCACAGCCAAGTGCTTGTCCTTCAGCCAAGCTGAGCTTCAATCCTTGAAGCTTCAAGTCTTTGGGCTCGGCTCCGAGTTGCTCCTTCATCTCTTTTTTTATGATGTTGTATACAGGTTGTTACCACCCCCCCTTGTTATTGGACGTGGCCCATGTTATTCAGCCCCCCCTTGTAGCATACCGGTTCGTGAGTTGTAAATGCGCAAGCTTCCGTGTGTTGTTTTTGGTTCTGTTGCGGTCTTGTGGAGTCCCAAGAGCTTCGCCCAAGGGACTGGCGCTCCAATGACATCCCCCCTCAGAATAAACCGCCCCCCCCCCTCCCCAAATAAGAGAACAAGTCGGATGGTTTTTCCTATACCTAGGGTTCCTTGTTGCAGGAGTCGCATTGCTTGTAGGGTTTCGCTGGGTTTCAGTCACTTTCCCACCCTTCCACCACCACTTCTAGACCACCACCTTAAGGCCCAATTGGTGTAAGAGGCTTCGCAGAATCAACGGCCCCTGGGGTGCTTTCGCTTTTTGGTTGAACAAAAACAGGCAATCTTTGTTGTACAAGGTGTTCAACCTCTTTCTCAGCGCTGAAGTCTAATTCTTTCAATTGGGATGAATTGCTCCGAAGACACAACTAGAAGACGTGGGTCCAGTGGGTCGCTAGGCATGCTGTGGCGCTGCTTCTCGCAGCGGGCTTTTGCCGCTTCAAGGCGAGCTTATGGCGAACTCGACCGCCAGGTTTTTCATGGAGGGTCAGCCACGGAAGTTATAGTTATTCAGGAAGTTAGAGCGTGAGCGGATGGATCAAAGTGGCATGCCCTATCTAGCTACCTCAGCTTTCAACATGCAAGGTCTGTTGAGACGTCGGGGTAGGCACGGCTATACCGGCTTTACTGGAAAGCACGACTCGCCCCTCAGCAACATGGCTTGGTGAGGACGGTTGTCCAAAAGGACACTCATCTTCATGGAGTCTGTGCATGAACCCAAGAAGGGTTCTGCCGAGTGCCGCGCCACTCGGCGCACTCCTGCCCAGCCAGCCCACATACCATGGGTGCTGGTGCTCGAGGCATCATGTATTCCCGCCCTACCCTTTTCAAGTTCAAGCTCCAGATTCCATTGTGCACGCTTGATAGCATCTACATGTCCTCCAACATGTGCAAACCTCACTGTTTGTGTTCTCATGCCTGTGAAGCCACCAAGCGGTTCTCTGTTATCTACACCACTGTGTCAGACCCAGGTGCCCTTGCTGGGTGATGGCTCTAACGGGGCTCCAACGGCCAAGAACGTGTTCAAGTGGGTGTGGTCAGGCTGTGCTGTTAACAGGGCTTCATGCCCAAAAGAGATTCGGCTCCTAGCGACCAAGGGCGACATCCCTTGAGCCCATGAAGCGACATCCTCCGGACTCCAACTTGCACTAAATGATAGTTGAAGGGAATCCATTCGCCACCTAAACCTTCATGCATTTGATAAAACACATGTGTATATATATATATATACGTAGGTTAAGTATGATTATATATATACATACTGTTTGTGTATATCTTGATACACACACATATTTATATATATGTACAGAAATCTGGTTTAAGGGACCCAGTTCCCATGAGTTCGCATGCCACTCATTGATCTGAGAGGTGACTCGACTTCTGCCTCGGGCCCTGGGCAGCCTCCTGGGGGAGTTGGCGTCTTGGACCAACCCAACCTGGTTTCAGCAGTCATTGGTGGTGGTCAGCCAAATGGTTTCTCTCCTGAAAACTGACATGCGGCCCCAGCTCCAAAGGACAATATGTTTCAACAAATCCGTGTGCGCCGTGTTCTGTAGAGCACCCTTTTATGGCCCTTTCCTTCTTCACTGGCCTTACAGCACCCCCCCCTCGAACAAATGACCCGTGCGACTCGCCGGTGCTTTCGCGCAATACATTTGGGTAGATGGCACGATTCCCCCATTCGGGTTTGGTGATCCCCTTTAATTGCCCACATGAAGGGAATTGTGGGTGTCGAAATGGGGAACCCAAGTATCAATTGTAGTGATCCTTTTGGTTTCCGTTTCAAACAGCCACAAAGGGCCATCTTGAAGAAAACACGCACAGGCGCAGCCTGTAGCCTTCCCTATTCTTTTTGTCCCCGTCAGGTATGGACCAGCGTTGGGAGGTGGTTGCACTTGAAAGTCCCAAAAGAAGAATCACCGGTTTTGTCAGGTGGTCCACAATGGCAGGGCATTTCAGGCGCAAACTGGCCCACAGTTTGCAAAAAAAAGGCCATATGGACCCTTGGTGCAGGTGCTGTGGTTTTTCGCTCGAGGCCACGGATTTCCAGCAGGGCCTCACTTGGCGCAGCGCGCGCCAACTGCTGAGCGCCCAGCTGCCGCCCGACGGGCAGCTCCACGCGGAGCGATGCGAAAGCGAAAGCGCCACGCCCTGCGATGCCACGGGGCCCACGGGGCCCACGGGGTCCACGGGGCTGGCTGGGGGTTGGTTAGGATAGGTCTTAGCGTGGGGATGCGTGGGGCTCTAGTGCTCCTCTACTGCTTCGGGAGGCGAAGCTTTGAGTTGAGGGCTGGTCCAAACATATGCGATTTTTTCGGGGGCCACATATGGAAGAGACTCGGGGTTTTGATATATATATATAGCGATGTGGGCCAAGTTGTGAATCAGCTAGTAATCAGCAAGTTCCGATCGCTTGCACAGGATCTGATGTGGCGCCCTGTATGGCCGATTTGTTGGCCGGGGTCAAAAGCGGAGTTGACCAAGCCACACTCATGTGATTTGCCAGCACGATTTTAAACATGATAGGCTTTGCACATGGTTTGCCCTGCATGCTTCCCAGATATCCTTGCTTGATGTTGTTTTGTGGGGCGGGGGCGCATTTTGTAGCTCATTGTCGCTCGCTTTTGGCAACCTCAACTGCCAGACGACGGTCCAGGGAGATCCGTGCAACTTGTTTTTTTTGATTTGGTGCGGGGCATGCACAACGCGAAGCTTTAAAGCGAATGGCAGTTCCAACTAGTGTTCGAAGTTGGGGCCCGTATTACGCGACTGGGCCCTATAGGAATTGGGGAGGCCCGGCGTGGCTCTTGACATAGGCAGGGCTCCACCAGTGGTCGTGCCAGTTGTTGGACTGTGTTGCTTGCAACATCTTGCAACTGGGTTGTTTCTTTTGGGTTTGGGTGCTGGTTTGGGTGCTTGAGGCACAGGTAGGCTGTGTTGGGTTTTGCGGCTTGAGTCCAAGCCACGGACACCGAGCTTCAGCGCGCTTCAGTGGCCGCCGGACGGGGCATGCTGCGATGCCTGTGTTATGACGAGCTCACTTGTCGGAGTCGGATTCTTAAGAGGTACGGTGGATGGCTTTAATATGCAAAAAAGCGGGAACACGTGAAATCCTGTAAATCCTTGTGGTGGTTGGTTTACTTGCAATACTTAGGGCATCCCCCGTTCCCTCCTTTGATGCGCCTTTTGCATGACCCAAGGCTTTGAAGTAAATGGCTGACGAGGGCTACCGTGAACTGACTGACACGTTTTATCTCAATTGGAGGTCGCTCAAAGTGAAGAGCTCCATCGAGTGCAGAAGACATGACCTGTCGCAAGTCCAAATTTTCGCGATTCGACCTCGGCTGAAGTTTCGCTGGGATGCCTTTTGGGCTCAGAGCTGCAGATGGATAGCGTCTGCGTAGCTCAGCCCGGGCCTCAACGAGTTGGCATCGAAGCTTGGGACGTGGCATGTGGGGGATGGGAGCTGCGAAGCTCAACCCGAAGCAACGGCAGAGTCTTTTCCGGGGCAAAGATGAGACCAGAATGACTTAGGTACAACAGCTAGCAAAGCATAGGCTTGCTGGACCAAACATGGGTTCGTGAGACTAGGCATGCTAGGTGGTTTCTCCAACAACTTGGCTCTGGTGAAATCGCAGGGTTGCGTTCAGTCACAGGTTACTCGGCGCGCCAACAATTTAGACACTGCTAGGTGCTCCTTTTTGTGTTTGGAGCACAAAGCGATTGGCTAGTCCAATGCTGCCCTGATGTTGCCGTAGATTGTCAGGTTTGCAACCTCTTCTTTCTTGGGCATGCCTTGTATCAAGTTGGTAAGTTTCTGTTTTTCACCCAATTCACCCAACCTTGTACCAACAGAGCAGTGGACCCAGTGGACACTGACAGAGTGGCGTCGCCTTGGACTCTCCCACCCATCTCCCTCCAAGGCATGGTGCAAGACGGTCAGCGAGACGCATCCCCTGCTTCTAGTTCCAATAGGCGCAGAGCGTGTGATAGGTTCGCGTGCGGCAGACCTATCTTTGCGTGTAGGTGTTTCGGTGTTTGTGTGTGTGTTGGGTGGGCGGTTGGCTGGCTGGGTGAGTGGGCGGGTGGGAGGGACTCCGGGCTGTGGGTGTGTCGGTATATGTGTGCGTGTCTCTCGCGATGTATCCATATCGAGCGGGCCAGGGATGATATCACCATCACCGTTGAAATGTGTCGGCAGCTTGTTTTTGCATTCCTGATTCCAGCTGTTGGCCTTCTGTCTACCGTGGCTTGATCATGTCATTGCAATAACTTGCAGACATGTTTCCATGATCTAACCTAGATGTCATTCTTACTGCTGACCTAGGCAATGCACAGATCTTTTCTGACGAGCAGTTGTGTTTAGGGCAATCTGCTCACGTGAGAGATGGAGTCCAGACCTTGCGGATTGGTGTTGATCGTTTGTGAGCGCAAGCACCGGCCCAGCGCAAGCACCGGCCCCTCAGCACATACAGAAGTTTGAGAAGCATGAAGAAGCATGAAGGCTAAGGACTGGCTGGGTGTTGTATGGTATTTGTGCTAGCCGATGAGGCTTGCGTGTTGGATGAGGTCCACATTTGAAGGGCAACTGCCAACAGCCTAGCTGCTTATCAAGAGGGTTGCCGTCGGCTTAGCCAAGGCCCTTCCCTGAGTAGAGGGCAAGGATTGGGCTATCGGCATATCATGTGCGATTCCGTTCTTGTGGTGCCCGCAAAACGTCAAAGTGCTGGGCACCCTGTGCCACCGCTCAACACAGTAGCTAATATAAGTTGATCAGGACTCCCTACACGTTTGTTTGGTGGGTTTCAACACCACCCTTGTTTTTTTCCTTGAAGTCGGATGGGGGGATCGGGAGCCCGGATGGATTTACGAATGGCTTTGATTGGACGAACAGATTCAGTCAGCTCGGGCGCTTTCTTTTGGAAGACAACTGAACTACTCACGAAACAATATGGCAACCAGTTTGTTTAGACGCAGGCGAAGTGGCAAGCTTAGGTCGGCCAACATGTCCGAATGGTGTGGCGCAAGCGCGCTTGTGCTGGTTTGTGGTACTTCATGCTTTCTTAATTGCTGACTGCTACGTTGTGTGTTAAAGCAAACAAGTCCAGGAATGTAGAGGCTGTGAGGCATGAGAAAGAGGCTCAAGGTTGTAGTTACTTACCGGCCAGGAGGTAGTATCGAATACCAGCTGCGACATTGAAAAACACAGACGGTTATTTGTGAGCGCCCCATGTATCTATCACGAACTCAACCGTGTTGCTTTGGACCGTGGCTGAGAAAGTCATAAGGCGTGTCAGCACCGAGTTCTGCACAAGTACTTGCATTTCATGCTTTGGGCCTAGTCGGGCCTATTAAGCATGCCATGTAGATGGCCAGTTGAAAAGTAGACCCCTCACACCAGACTCTCAGAGCCTCACACCCTCAGACCCTCAGACCCTCAGAACCTCACCTCAAAAGATTGAAAGGCACCCCTTTTTGGAGCCATTTTGGGCTCTCTCCCATCTGGGGCTTCCGCCCCCCCCCCCCCCCACAAAAAAAAGCCGCAACAGCGGACGACAGGTCTGATGAGGATGAGGACACCGCCCAGGTACGGGTCTCCCGTGCAGAGCTGATGCGGGGCCACAGGCGCGGGCGGACATGTTCTGAGCTTCTGTTTTGGTTTCTTTGTTTTTTCCTCAGCAGAGTTGGCGAATTTGTAACTAGTAGTGCCCTTCTCTCCCCTTTTTTGGGGGAGGTTCCCCTACTAAAATAGACTACAGAAAAACGGGTACCCTTATCTTAACCTCTCTACTGGAGGACCCAGTTAAAATCAAGCCCATGACCAGTGAACTAGCCTTAGGCTGAAATTAGAGTTCAAGCACCAGTGAATTTCAAACATCTCAAAATCACAGAAGAATGCAAGATACAAGTGTGTTTCATGCCCTGAGTCGTCGAGCGGCTGAGACGGCCAGATTCAGAATTATTGATTCCTGTTTGAGGTCGCTCAACTAAACCCACAACAGCCAATCCTTCACAGTTGCTGCAAAGCTAATGGTCAACATCAGCATGGGTAAGTTGTTTCTTGCTAGCCATTTTCAGGTCTGGGTTCTGATATTTTCCGGACTTCAAGCTCCAACTTCTGCGGCTTGTGTTAATCCTAAGTGAGATGGTGGCCTTGGTTCCTGAATGTTAGCAGGCAATTTGCCTAGGCTCACGGTCGTGGCTATGGAAAGCTGAAGAAATCATCGGGATGGCCTACTTTGGAATCTCACGTGATTTTCTCCTGTGCCCATGCTCCCAAACGCCCGGAAGCCCCTTCACTTGTGAATTGCTTCATCAGGGACCGTGTCGACGACTGCGCGTGCCCCACACAAGGTTTTTTGGACTATGGCGCAGGTGTCAAGGGCAGACTTTGTGGCGGCTTACTACCTGCCGGTGTCAAACTCCGTGCATGTCTACAACTTGTTGCCATCCCCAAATGACTACGCCCCAGGGAAATGGGTATAATCGCTTTACATCATGGTGAAACAGTACAGTGCTCTTCTTGGGGCAGTAGTGGATTGAGGGCAGTGGATGTTTTCTTGGACCCTATCGCAGCGCAAGCAGAAGAGAGGGTTGAATCGGGCACGCGCGATCGAGCAGCTCAGCCGGGGCCCTTTGCCAGGCCTGTGGTGGTGTCGGAGGTGCCTGTCTACGTGACGCGGCTGACACCCATCCCACTTCTCCAACTTGTCTTTGACTTCCCTGGGGAACATGGAGTTCTCGAAACCCTCAAAACACCCTTTGTTTCGCTGTTTGTTTGTTTTGTTTTTTTGCAGGGGAGTAGCCGGTTAGTTGGAGTAAGGGGCTTTGCAGAACCATTGCTGGTGTTTTGATCACATTGTACATGGACTGGGCTTCCGGCCTGTGTCTGGGTGTTTCACTTGACGTTGGCTGAATTTCCTTGAACAAACAGCCATACAAATTGCTCTGTGCCTCTGAACAAGTCAGTGTGAACATGTAAGGGAAGATGAGCAGAGTGCAAAGGAAACGAACACAGCCCGGCCTGATAGAATTATTTCCCTCGATCGTTTGGGGATGGCAACTGCTCACGGACTTCGAACGCTGGCGGTACCAAGGGGCTCTAGATGGTTGTCAGTGGGCTGGAAACAAGTGCGATTCTGTACTGTTCCATCGCGAGTTTCGTGTTGCTTGTGGTTTGATTGGCTTTCTTTCGGCCATGCATGATTCATTTTGGGGATGAGCGCATCCCCGCCAAGGGTAGCAACGGGCCTTGATATTTTCTAGTTATGCGGCAATTGTTTCCACGTTGGAACACGGGGTAGGTGTTGGGTTCTCCGCAATCTGTTGGCTTCCTTCAGGCCACAACTCAGTCGTCCTTCCGCACACGCTGTTAAACCGGAGGCCAAAAGTAGGACCTGGTTCTATTGTCCACGCGCATTAAGCGATATGATGTATCAATATATCTATCGAAAAACGGGGCCACACGGGGTTATGCATTGCCATTCTATTTAGTTCACATTCGCCGCAAACAGGTCTTGTAATTGTGCATCATATGCATATGTATTTGTTTGTGATGTATGCGGCTTGAACGAACCTGATATGTCTCAAATTGTTTTCTCCATATTATTCATCCTCATCACCATCATCACCATCATCCTTGTCATGCATTCCTATGTTCTAAACTGGCCGGTTCTCAGAAGGTCATGAAGGAATGACCCCTATAAACCATCCAACCTATGGTTTCCCATTTAATGCCATCCACAAAACCGATTATTTCCCACTGCCCGGGCTCGGTCATTCCCTACCTATATCGACCAGCAAGTAAATCAAGGGACTTGCGATTTTTTGTTTCTCACTGGGCGTTCTGAGAAGTTTAGGTATAGGATCTGCCTGGGTTTCGAGCTCAAGGATTCAGGGGTGGGGTAAACATGTGCTCAGCTTGAAGCTGCAGAGCCCAGCAAGCCGCTCACCAACCAACCGACCAACCAACCAGCCAACCAACCAACCAACCTGCCTACCTGCCTACCTACCAGCACTAACCAACCAACCAACCAACCTACCTACCTGCCTACCTGCCTACCTACCAGCCAGCCAGCCAACCAACCAACCAACCAACCAACCAACCAACCAACTTCCCTACCTACCTACCTACCTACCTACCTACCTACCTACCTACCTACCTACCTACCTACCTACCAGCCAACTAACCAGCCAACTAACCAGCCAACTAACCAGCCAACTAACCAGCTAACCAACCAAGTAACCTACCTACCTGCCTACCTACCAGCACTAACCAACCAACTTACCTACCTACCTGCCAGCCAACTAACCAGCCAACCAACCTACCTGCCTACCTACCTAACCAACTGAACCAACTGAACCAACCAACCAGCTTGAAGCTGGCTTGCGCCCTCTCCGAGGTGGCCCTGGAGGACCGGGAAGGGCGGCGCTTCGAGGACAAGGGCTCCTGCCCCATGGCCAGGTTAGACCAAGCGAAATGCAGTTCCGCCTTGTGAATGGTTGGCTGGTTAGTTGGCTCGTAGGTAGGCAGGTAGGTTGGCTGGCAGGTAGGTAGGTAAGTTGGTTGGTTGGCTGGTTAGTTGGCTGGTTAGTTGGCTGGTAGGTAGGTAGGTAGGTAGGGAAGTTGGTTGGTTGGTTGGTTGCTTGATTGCACGGAAACAACTTCCCCAGAATGAGTTACCCCTTTTGCTTTCTTTTGTTTTTTTGGGGTCCCCTTTGTTTGCCACCAGCCAGGCAAAAAAGACAATTTTTTGCTGGGGTCCTAATTCCAGCCTAGTCAACTGGCTACGATGACAAATCTTCCATTCTTGAGGTACGCCCGCTTCCCCCAATTTCACCGGTTTCCAGAGCCAAAGAAAGGTTGGAATGAATAGATGATACGGGCATCATACATACAGTTACATATAGAAATGTGTTAATAAATATGTTTGCCTGTTGCTTCACCAGCCAAACGTTAAAATAGCGGTATGGGCATGTATGTTTCCTTTGCATCTTTCTGCATCGCGAGTTGATTCAATTTACTGGTTGCAACTGATGCTGCTATCGCTGCAGTGTTCGCCGCCAAGTACAATGGCGCACGGAGGTCCAGGGGATGAAGTATTCGGTTTTGAGGCGTTGGCCGTATTCGCATGTGCTTTTGCATTGCTGGGAGCAAGGCTCCCACACTTCAAGCTCGCCCGCCACCAACAAGCAATCCAGCTTGCTCCTCCGCGCCCCACCCTAAGAAGGGGGGACAAAAGTTTTAAACGTACATATATACCTACCTACCTACCTACATACATGAATACATACATATGCACACTGACGTGCACTACTCACTGTGGATTTGTTCAGGTTCCTAGTTCCTAGTTCCCGCACAACAAGCCTTGGTGCTGGTTTGTGGCACCAAAGCAGACAGACGTAAGCGTTTTTTCCTTGGCATCCGTCCCATCTAGTCAGTTGTTTATTCACACTCTCGCTTGAGATTAGCCACCCAGGTCAGTACGTGCGCTATCGCTGGATGCGAGGGCCTGTCATCCAGCCCTGCTTCTTCCACCCCCACAAGATGCCTTTCGGCCAGTGGGTCGAGGAGCTTTGGCACTTTCTGGGCCCACTTTTGCAGCCAGATGTTTGATATCGACATCGAGATAGAGTTGGTTGCTTTGTAAGTTCAAGCCACGGAACGGTTGTTGTTGATGGTGGTTTGTGCCTTTGAGACCAACATGCCATGAAGGCATGAACAATCTCAATGGATGCAGCTTCCCGATCCAGAAACAGTGAGCCATGCTGAGCCATGTCCATCTTTGGTTGTCAGCTAATTTTTCCTTCCGCCGGCATGCCTACTTTTCTTGTTTTTGTACTGATGGTGTTCCCTATTGCAAACATGCCTCCCTCTTGCCCGCTTTCCGGGAGTTCAATCAGAGGTTCGCTGGTAAACCGAACGCACCTTTTGGGTTGCACGTGCTGATTGGGGAAGCAAAGAAAGTTTCTAGGAGAGAAAGAGAGAGAGAGAGACTGTTCTCAGCTTCAAACTTGGATGAATTAGAGGAGAAGATGGACGATTGCGGCTCATGTTGATGATTCTTCCATATTATTCCCCCAGGCATCGAGTGTGGTGAGCAACCCGCACCCAAGCCTCATGATTTTTAGGTTTTCCCAGACTTTCCTGTCACATTCGAGGGCCAACTTAGAGTGGAAATGCAGGGGCACGCCTTGCAAGGTCCCTTTGATTGCTTGGGGGGCTGCAGGGGTTCCTATGTCACGTTCCATATTCGCTTTGGTATATGCAAGTGGTACACCTGGACCCATTCTCAGCTTCCCTCTAGTTGGTGGTTTGGATTGGTGCTTCCGTGGTGAAGGGCAGTTGCCCTCTACAAGAACCAAAAATTGAAATCCAACTCCAACTCCAGTTCCCACCGCTCCAAACCACCAATTGACAGCTCCTTGATTTAAGGGCACACTCAAAAACACATCAGCTCATTCAGCTCATTCAGGTCATTCATGCCCGACATAGGTCACAGATCCGGGATGTGGCCAAGACCTTTAATCACTACTGCTCCCGGGAGTGCTTCTTGCGGGGCTGGCACCATTTGCCTGCTCACCACTGGGGCAAAAAGCCCGACGACGCCAGCTTCGAGGACGCCGCCTGCAAGCCGCGTAAGCGCTTTTTCTCACGGGGACCCCAGACACGTGCAAATCCCCAACCCCGGTGGCATGAATTTTCAGCCGTGCTGTCTCCATTAAATAATATGTCGTCAGGGATTTTGGCATTGGATTGTTCGAAGGATATATGGAGGACATGTCGAAATCGCCTTTAGAACCGTCATGATTCAAGCAATAAACAGGACATGCACAAAGTGCGCAACAGTTCGAGCTGTCACGGTGAAATGCGGAGATGGATGTGGGCCGATCCATTGTGATGTGTAGAGATGTGATGCCCACATATATCGCAAAACATTGACACTGGAAGTTTCATGTGTGCAGCAGTGCACTCTCTCTTTTGCGTAGGGTTCTTCAACCCCCCCCCTCCAGTTGGAGGTGAGACGATACCGTGCTATCCTGCTTGTTCAAACCGCATCCCCGAGAAAATGTTGCTGGTCCTCAGCTGAGGGAATGACCCCTATAAACCATCCCTGTGGTTTCCTTTAAGGGAAACTCCCTAGGTTCATTTCCAACACCCTTGGGCATGTTCTACTGAGCACTAGAAATCGTATGAAAGGGGGGCGTTCCTCAAGGGAATGTGGGAGGCAAAGGGGAATATGGGAGAGCTTATGGATTGACGGCGGTTAGCCTGTCCGCACACAATCGTACACACACCCAACTTTGCGTCACTGTTGCACATATATCAGATTGAACCGCTGCTCGCTAACATGACTCATGTGTGATGCCATTGGCTGACCCGCGCTTGACCTTATTTTTGCTTCAGCCAGTTTGGTCCGCAGTGTTGGCTCTAGGCCAGCCTGCTAATTCCAAGGATGTTGGGAATGAGCCTGAACCATGGGACATGCAATTGGGAGCCATGGTTCGGAGAGCTGGGGTTCTGTTAGAAGCCATGGCTTCTCGCGTGGCCATTTTTGCTTATGATAAACGGCGTCTCGTGGATCCACGCAGAACTCGACCCAATTGATTGCAGGTGGGGTGTACTCCCAAAACTGGGAGTCTTGCCTGTTACTGAACCCTTGGGGTCCCTAGGTGTTTTTTCTTCCCGTGGGAACCAAAAGCCACGTGTCTTTCCAAGTGCCGAGAAGAAGCGAACCGCAGGAGCCCTTGGCAGAGTGGACCCAAGTGGCCGAGACCAGGCAGTACTGCCCCAGCCATTTGGACATTGACCGGCCTTTGCGCATGGAAACTCGGTGCAAACAATGGAGAATTGGGTCAAAACCAATGGTAGCATCACCACCCCTTTTAGAACCTATTTTACTGGGGATTGGGGTGTTCACTGGGGGTACGGGGTTCTGACCCATGGCCATATGGAGAATTGGGGAAACTCAGGGTTTGGAGATCGGGTTGGGCGGACGATGTTTGTATTTGTGCCTTGTTCATGGCAGAGAGAAGGGCAACTTTCTGAAAAGAATGTGTGCGATTGGGGCGAGCCCCCGAAGAGCTCACATTGGCCAAGCAGCTGATAGTACCCGGTTTTTGCAAGCTTCTTGCATTTTTTTAGCTGGAAGGAGAGCCTGGACTGGAAGATCAGGATGCAACTTAAGATATGAAGGAGATTTCGTCAGCAAGGGCGTCTAGGTACTCCAAGTTGTTAGTTTCCTGTGATTGCCTTCTGAAACCATTACCAGGAGGGACGCTGGGCTTTGACACAATAAACCTAGCTACATGGCTGCCATCATTGGTCCAATATTTATAGGCTTCTCGGTGCTACACCAACCGTTTTTTTTTTAAAGCAAGCTGATCAAGCTGATTGTGTGAGCGGCAACCTCATGTGCGTGCGAAATGAGCTCGCCCCATGAAGGTTCCTTGCCGGAGATTCCTTCTGGTTGGTTCAGCGGCATTTAGTGCAGCTTCAGCAGGGAAAACAGCTTGCTAGTTTGCGGCTATTGGCCTGGCACCAGACAGGCGCTTTGCTACGGCAGGCCTCGAGTCTCAATTCTCCGTGTGCCACAAAGTCGGTCATTATCAGCTTGAAGTTTCCAACAAAGGAAACAAACAAGTGAAACAAGGGCATGGATAATTTGCGCAACTGTTTTCGACCCCCCTTGCCATCCCGTTCTGCTTCCAACAAGCCGGTTTCTGCTTCACCGCAAGTTGCTGTGAGGCTGCGGCATTGCTGCAGGGCCTTGAACTGCTGCAGGTTTTGGGGACCAAAGTCACAGTCAGCTGACTCATTCAGACCATCACTCGAACATTGGGCTGAAATGGGGGCACGGGCCTCGTTCCTTGAGAAGCTGCCGACGTGGGCAGCACTTTCCCGGCAAACGCGAGGGGCGTGTGGCAGCCCCAGGGTTATGTGGCTTCCCAGCTCAGGCCGCAGTCGCCACAAGCCTTCAAGGCTGCAAGAGTAGACGGTCCAGACACCACGCAAAGGTTATTTTGTCGACCTTGTCCCACAAGAATCTTTCTGGTTTGTCTGCAGGTTAATCGTGTTTCAGATGTTGACTCAGCAAACATGCTGCTGATTCGGGGTCCCCAGAGCTTCAGACAGAAAGCTGCAAGTTGAGCACAGAGTTCGCTGAGGACATCATCCCCCTGACCAAGGACGGCCGGGAGTGCGTGGCTCGTTTGATCATTTGCTTTCGGGAGGTGACACCGCCCCACTCTTTCGAAGCTTAGAAAGAATCTGTTTGCGTGGTCTTAGCCATATTTTGTGCGAGAGGGGAGGGGGTGTGCATTTGCGACCACCCGGGGGGGGGGGGAGGTGTTAGACTTGCTAGAGTGCACCTTGGCCCTGGAAAGCTGCAGGTCAGTCTGCTTATTCACTAACAGTCTTTCTCGACTGGTGCTGGGTGATAGATTTAGACATCTCAGCTTGTCGTTCCCCGCGCTATGCCCCAAAAGAAAAACACAAAAGGACATCAAAAGGACTAAGATCATAATGGACGCATTTATCATCCAGTGTGTGGTTTCCAGGTTTAGCTTCTGCTGCGATTCGCAAGACCTGCAGTTCAAGCCGCAGACTCGCTGAGGTGACGGGCATGATGTCCATCACCACAGGCACAGTGATCCCCACGCCGAAGGAGGCAAGAATGCGACAAATGATCAGCAGCTTGGCATCGTCGTGCGTGGGGGGTTCGCCCGAGGTTCCATGTGAGCTCATGTTGGTATTTGATCCTGATCAAGATCAACCCGTCGCTCGCTCATGGGTACATTTGGTGGAGGGTCCCGTCTGACCCCTCCTAAACAGGCACTCAACAGGAGTTCATTGGGGTGTGTCTTAATTTAGGTGACCTTCCAAAATGGTGATGTTTCTTTTGGTGTTCCTTCAACCTGAAAAGGGTATTACAATAAGCCTTGCAAGCACACACCAGTGTATTTGCACTGTGGCAGCTCAATCGCATAAGCAAATCCGCATGAAAAGTCCAGTGCTTTTGGATCCCGAATCTCACGTTGGTGAAACATAATTAGCACTGGTATTTTAAGGGACCATCTACATAAGGGTTGTGGGATCAAGGGGTTTATCCCCACTTCTGTGATACAAGGGAATCCCCTCTTTAAATGGCGGGGTAGGCTTTGGGGGATCTTTTTCTTGTATCACAGAAGTGGGCATTTCCCACAGCCCTGATCTACATGAACATGCAAAGCCTGAGCCAATGAAGCCAGAGAGCCCGTCAAGTGCCCAACATGTTCACGGTGAAAAGGACTTGCACAGCCGAGCATGCGAGGGAAGGAAGCACTTTCGCAGGTGCCTGCCGGTTGGGATTGAACTCTTACATCAATTTAGGTTAGGCATGCAACTACCTGAGAGCAGGTCAAGGGTTGAACACTCACCCTCTCCCAAACTCCCAGTAGACCCTCGTATGTCACATAGGTACCTCTTGCCGTCCTTAAAATTTTGGTTGCAAGCAACACCCCTAAACAGTAAAACCCTTGAAGGGCATTCCTTCTAAATGCTGACCCTGATTTTTTGGGGGTTACGTTTTAGTGGGGAATCCTTTCTTTGAGGGGATCCCCATATTAATGTTGGTTCCCTGGCAAGGAAACCAAGAGTGCTCACGAAATGAGCCCTCTGTTGGGTAACACGGTTACCTGTGCTCAGGCTCCATGCTAGTTTTTCAATTTCATGGAGTTGCTCTCTGCTAAACAGCCCATGATTTTAAGGCATCCAAAAGGAAATCACAAGGGGTGGCAATTTGTTCCTTGGCTCCACCCCCCGTTTGACACCCGGCTAGCCGTACTTTGTTCAGGTTGGTTCCCGCCGAAAGGGAAGGGGAAGCATTCAGTCACTTTCAAGAATTATTCGGCTACACATTGGTAGCGGGTGATTGCCTGCAAAAGCGAAAGGTGTGGGCCCAAGCTTCCAGCTGTTTGCTTGGTTATGGGGAGAAGGTCTCTGGAAGTCAAGTGGTTTTCATCCCGCGCAGTGGATTCAGATACGTTCCATTGAGGCAATGGCGGGACCTTCAACGCGGAGTGGCTCAGCAAGCAGTTCAAGGCGCGAGGATGATGCAGCCGCAAAATACCAGGTAACCCATAAAACATGAATATATATATATATATATATACATATTACATACATATTGATATATTCATATATGTATATGTGGTTTCGATTTGTAGGAATTTGAACCCCTGGTTCTTGAGGATGGGAACACGTCCTTCACCAGGAGGCAAATCCCTTTTCAAGGGGGACCCCCGACTTCCCTTGATTTTTTGGCCAAGCTGGCGCCAATACGCGCTTTTCCTAAGTCCTAAGAAAACTATAGGTGAGGTGGTTCAGTAAGAGATCTTTCAGCCAGCTATGTCCGAAGAGGGAAGCAACTAGAGTTGCACAAGGGGTTGGGAATGTACCTTTGGGTGTGTCATTCTTAGGGGATTTGCTTTTGGTTTCCCCTTAAAGCCTATCAAAAGGGGGTTCCTTGAAGAAAAGACAAACCCATATATGTTGCACAGTTCAAGCCAGAGTCAAAGCCTGACAAAACGCGATTCCAGAACCACTGTGTCACCATTGTTCTTTTGCCTGGTCCAAGTCGGTTGTGCATTTTGACCTTCGTGGTTTGCAGTTGTGATCCATCTTCCCCCCCACAATCGTCATGATCTAGGGGCAGGCTCTCTTTTTGTCCGGGAAGGGGGGAGGAAGCCCATTTGGACGAGGACCGAAGAGGAAATCTGGTCGACCCCAAAGGACACTATTTTGTGTGTAGGCTGGGTTTTGTCCCCCAGAGAGCATTTATTAGCAGGGCGGGGGGGGGGAGGGGGGGGACAGAACTATTCGTATCCCAACAGTCCGGTGCCATCAGAGCTATGGTTTCCGCATCCTGCGCAAGAGCTGCAGGTAGCAAGCTCCAAGCACTGTCTGACCATCTCTTCAGTTTCTCGTGGCATGCTGTTTGTTTGTGTAGTTGTTTGTTTGTTGGTTGGTGTCTTTGCTTGCTGGTTTGCCTGTTTTATTTTTATATATTTTTCCCCTGCTTTTGTGTTTGATTAGTTTTGTTGTTTGCTTTCTTGCTTGCTTGCTTGCTTGCTTGCCCGCCCGCCCGCCCGCCTGCCTGCCTGCCTGTTCGTCTTGTGTGTACTTGTTTGTTTGTTCGTGGCACCTCGCAGGTGATGAACTGGAACATTCTGGCAGACCTCTATGCGACTGAGAATGTGGCCTTGAGATCAGTTGGATCGACCTGTCGGTAGCCCTCAATTCGCGGAATCCTTTTGGGCGCTGTTCTGGACTCGGGGGGGATGTGGCAAGTTTTGGGGAAAATCCTAAACGCTGGAGATATAGATGAGTCATCGACGCAGGAAGCGAATGGGCATCCATAGCAGAGACTGGTTGGCAGACGAAGCGAAGTGCATACCGCACCCCGATGTCCGAAAGGGCCAATCAAAGAACGGCCATATGGTTCCCCCGCAGGAGGGTCCCGAATTATAACTCTCTTTTTTGTGAGCAGCCCTCACATCTTGGGAGAATTCCTATGTCATGAAGCCTCCTTTTAGGAACCTTTTCTTGGAGCTTTGCCTAGTCCTTTGCTGGGTTGGATTGTCGTGGCGATTTGAGCCAGCCCGTGTTGAAAGCTTAATGATAGAACATGAAAACTACCCTTCTGGGTACACCACCCAAAAGACCTGCTGGGACCCGTACATACAGGGCCTCTAACCCACCTATCCAAGCCACCTTTTTTGGGTAAGCCGATATTCTTATCGCCCTACGGCCGCTCACGACTTGTCTTGGGTAGGCCTATGGGTTCGGTCGGAGTGTGTCTCCTCCTTTTGCCACCAGGTAACCTAGAGAAAAGCATTTGTAGGGGGCCGAGCCACTTGAAGCCAGGTGTGGAATTGCCTCACGTGGCCAAACGTTTTGTTTATACGGCCTCCGAACATTTGGGATGATGCATGTCGGGGCTCAAACCCTTCCAGAAAATATATTTGTACGTACAGCCACAGGCGGCTTCAGAGATGTCGCAAATCCTGTCTTCCAAGGTGTTTTTGGTCGAACCCAATGCTCGTGCCACTGGGCCATGGTCATGGCTCCCTTAAGCCCCAAACCAGCCATACCATCCCGGTGCTTTCAACAAAACATGCCAACATCCCTTTCTCAAGTCGATGCCAGTACCAGATATAGGGCTGACAGGCTTTTGAAGTACCGGAAATACTCCTTTCAGGTTTCTGTTGTGTTTTGCTGGAGGTCACCCACTAACATCAACATGTTCAGATTGTCTGGCTTTCGATGTGGCATCATTACGAGGCTGGGCCGTCCTGTTCTGTGCAAATCGCTGGAACACTGTCGCTTCTAGTCCGTGGTTTCCTTCGAGGGATGGGGCATCCAGATTCTGAAGACCGAAAGTTGCTCGGGTGTTTCTTTTGGATTGGCAGGTAGTCTGCCTGCCAAAGAGTGAGTCGTGTAGCGGTTGATCGGCCAACCCAAGCCACCAATTAATTGGGTTCGTTTCAAAAAACCAGATCCCGGAATTGGTTGGTTTATGTTGGCTTCCCTAAACCCAACCAAAAGGGGTACCGTCAAAAAGAGACAGACCCCATTGTAGGGGTAAGGTGAACCAGGAGAGGTGGCCACTGCGCAGACTTCGAAGGACTGCACCCATCTGAGGTGTACCCCTACTGCGAGAAGTGGGCGCTCTCCTGGAATTGGCGCAAGCACCTCATCATCAAGGACAGGGCATGGTGTCTAGACGACACTTGTGGCTCATCAGGGCCAAAATTCGGTCCAAAGAAGCCCTCCCAGCAGTTCACAGACCCTTTGGATAAACAAGGGTTCCCTTTCGGTCTCCATGCAAATTTGCATGTAGGAGTTGGCAAAATGGGTCCGGCCGCTTTTGCGGTTTCCTCAAACAGCGCCACATGAGCTGTTGGTTTCATGGGTTTCCAAACATCGTTAACCCCAACAAAATTTGGGTCTCCGAACTGCCGACTCGGCAGGAGCTGAAGTCTATGGCCGCCGACATCATCACCTTGCAGGAGGCGTTTGGGGGGACCTCAGGTTGACTTTAAACGGAACGCCAGTCGGCAAACCCTTCCATTTTGCCGGTTTGCCCCCAAGGCCAATCTATATTTGTGCAAGCTTGGGGGGTCGGTCCGATTCCTGCCGTTTCACGGTTGAGTGTAGAACGCCATTGGTGGGTGGGCAGCATTCGAGAGGAGCGGGCTAGCACAGCAACATGGAACACAGGACTCTGTTTGCAGAAATCCATGTCTGTGTTTGTTTGTTTGTCTGTCTGTCCGGCTGTCTGTCTGTTTGATTGTCAGTCAGTTCGTTTGTGTTGCCGGTTTTGCTTGCATCTCTCAGGTGCAGAAGGACGCCTTTGATGACTGGTTCCGGCCCACTTTGGCGGAGGTGGGCTACGAGGGCATTTTTCAAGCGATTCTCGGCGTGTGGCTTCATGGTTCACAGGTGGGAAGGCCCCAAACCCTGCCGGCTGCTTTTGGTGGATCTACAACCTGGCTTGATCTATTTTGTAAGGCCTAGTTGACCTTGCTCATGTGGGTAGGGCCCAAAATCCATGATTTCTGAGTGCTCATTGGCTTGCAGGCGTTGAGAGTTCCAGCGTGTCCCATTGGCGGACTTGGCGATTGAGAAACAAAAGTGGCATGTACTTGAAAAGCGGTTGGAAGGGTCCCAGAACAGGATGAGCTGGAAACTGAACACGTGCTTTTCGATGGGTCATTTGGGTATCACATGATGTATGGCTCGATGCACCGGACCTTTGGGGTTCTGCCGCGAAATCCGGAGTGAACACCCGGAAAAAGAGGGTTGAATCAATACGGTGTACCTTGTTTTGGTAGGAAGCCTTTGTGAGGATCAAGATAGGTCTTGTCCATGGATCTCTGGTTGATTGCTTGCTTCTTTGTTTGGTTTCCAACGGGATCCGACCTAAGTAGCTCTGCGGCGCCAGCGTTGATGTTCAGCTTTCTGACTTATCTACCACTATTTGTCTACTGAGCACTGAGCACATCCGAGCGCACAGTGAACTGCGGATGCATTTCCAGGGGTCCCTTGTTCAGATCCTTGCGAGTAGTTTTCGTGTCACCATGGGAGGGAACTGTGAGTGTATGTTTGCATACTTGAGAAGCCATTTGAGACACGGGCAACTTGGTGCTGATGCCCGGGCTTTCTGAAGCATCGGCATGCCGGCGTGTTGCCTCCACGGCAAATCAACGTGCGGACGTCACAGGGAGCTTGACGCTTGCGGGGGCTCTAGAACCGCAAGCCGGGTCGACCTTGACCTGGCATTCGCTTTTTGCCCGCGAGCGCTGAGGAAGAAGAGGGAGCCCATTTTTCATCGTGGAAAGCAGCTTGGCATAGACACGAGCTCACTAGGAAGTTTCTTCACATGGGGAGGCCTTGTTTGAGGGGGTGGTGTTTTTATAAAGTTTGCAGACACCGCAACCTCAGACGGGTGGCCTTGCTGCCTTTAACTTGCTAGGTACACCACAGAAGGCTGCGCCACCTTTTACAAGACCACACGCTTCAAGAGGCTGGACAAGGCAATTTTCGACTACGACAAGCTGTCAACGCAGGCTGGGCATTGCACGCCTCTTTTTGCCCCTAAGACCCTGCCATATGATGGGGCAGAGGAAGCCTGCACGAGCCACGGGGAGGGGTAAATACAGCGGTGTAGTGCAGTATGCGCCTTGAGTCCAAAGCAGCCCCCGTGGCCTGGCAAGCGACACGATGCTTGGTTCATGTCATTCATTTTTTGACGTCATGGACCATCAGTTCCCTTTCGCTATTATTATGACATTCGTGCAGCAACTATGCTGCAAAATAAAAATCTCGCGCACAGTCGCAGGCATATGTTCGACACTGCTTTCCCCCGAGCTACACGATGTTTGTGCCAACGTTTCGACCGGGTGCAAGTGCGAAAGTGCGAACACACGCTGTTATACGGTTGGGAAGGGAGCATATGCTTTGTATGCTTTGCACAGCTTCAATTGCTTGTCGACGGTACCGCTAACCCGTTAAAAGCATTCCGCACTGTTCAGGCTTCTATCACAATGGATTAGGCCAGCACATGCTGAACCCCGCATTGGATATTTTGAAGTGGGCCTGCCCCTTACTCCGAAGTGCATATTTTTCAGTTTGCTTTTCCTTCCCTTGCTTCCTTGCTTCCTTCCTTGCATTCAGGAACCTCTCACTGAGTGCTCTCAGCGGACAGGCCAGCGTTTCACACGTTGCTGTCAAGTGATTTACTTGGCCCATGGTAACATGGATTCAGGGAGTGGGATGGCTTCATGGCAGACCAGACACAGTCTGGCCATAAGGCCCTTGATGCCCTGCTGACCCATGAACAACCAGGCAATTCACACAGAGAGACACAGAGACTTTCCTCTTGGGTATGTTGCTTTTCCTTCTGCAGCAGCTGCGATTGATTTCATCCAGCTAGTTTGCCAAGATGGACATATCCGAACCCGACGTTCCCTCTAATACCATATGGCGCACATTCGGCGCTATGTGTGTAAGCCATAATGGGCCGTTCATGAAATCAAATCATCCAGTTGGTTGTTTGATGTATTTACATTGACAAACAATTCCCCATCATGCCAGCAGTTGGCACGTTTTTGAGGGGATCTGAAACGCAGGTGATTCCAAGACGGATCCGAGAATAATTTTGGGGATCTGATCCCCATCCCCCGCCCTTTCTCAGGAACTGCGCGCCAGCAGCATGGACCCGGATATCGAGGCCAGGAAACAATGGGCGCCCACTTTTGCTCACAAGCCGCGGATTTGTGGATCTTGATGTGTCATTCTAAAGGTTGATTCCCCATTCTTTTCAGCCATAGTTCTTTTCAAAAACCAGCCATTCCTTCGGGGGTTTTGGTGGTTTTCTGGAAAGAAGGATCCCTGGAAAGAATGCTAAGTTACCCTTAGAGTCATTGTCGGTCGCATTTCGTTCTGCTGCTTGGTTCTGCTACGTTATTTTTAATGTGGCGGGGACTGTTAAAGCTCAAGGCTTTGTTGACTCAGATGCCAGGGCTTTGAAAGGTTTGCTTGGGGTGCTGATTGGTAGGCTTCAAGGGCTGCCCTGAAACATCGCCTGAACTAAACAATGGGAAGACATGATGCCGTGTTTAGGCCTTCATGAGGCCTAAACAAGATGCGCAAGTGTGCTTGCTCTTGTTTTCACACGCGGCAACATGTCGTATGGGGCTCGCACTTGGCTTAGACCCAGTCCAAATTGTGTTCTTCCATACCGATGTCTTGTTCGGGAAGGGGCGGGGGAGCTGAGCTTCGGGTTGCCATGGAAGATTGCCGCCTTTGGTTGTTTTTTCCTAGAGGGGGGAGCCCGTTTTGGGATTGAGGTGAAGGGCAGCAAAAAAGGAAACCGCCCCAAATTCGGGAAACCAAATTTTAGAACAGCCCCAGTTGTCTCTTCACCCCACTGTTTTTTATGCTTATCCTGCAGGTTTGAAACTGGGCCCGTGTTTTGCCAGTTTTTTGGCAAAAAATGTGGCCCTGGCCATATAAGAGCCTAACTGGTTCGACCTAGTGTACCCCAAACCCTATTAAGATATATTAAACTCATTTTAGGCACTTATGTTTCTTGGCTGGTCGCTCAATTCGTCCGAATTGAGGCAGAGGCAATCCGCAGGGTGAACCGCGGCAACATTGCGCTCGCAGTGATCCTTGAGGAGTGGAGCTCTAGAGCAGCGGAGAGCTGCTCCGTGTGAGGTCGGGGATCCCTGAAAAGGTGGGTTTCCGCTTGAAGCAACCATGTAAAAGGCTCCTCAAAGAAGAGATACTCACTTGCCCTGGTTGACACATGTTCATTTGTAGTGCGATTTGCACAAGTCAACGCGCACACTATAATACTCCCGCTGGCCGGGATTGACCCGCTTAAAAACCATCTTCGCCCCAGTCGGAGTCTGAAGAGTCCCCTGTATTGACATGGCACTGGATGCTTGGCTCCAATTTCCCACTTGGCAGGATTGCATCGCGATTTCGACATCGTGGTGTCGTTTTCAGGAACCCATGGCATTGCCAACCCCCCGGTTTGAGGTGGTCCGTAAAGGTCGTAGAGGCGTGGCCACAGCTCCAAAATTTCACAAGACCCCACGGTTGAACTTGCCACAAGCGATATCGGTGTACGAGGAAGAACTGTTTAAAGTCTTCTTGGGGATCCTTCTCAGTTTTTGGAGCTGTAGAAGGCGCACATAAGTTCATGTGGCTATTTCGCATGCGTGGCCACTGGAAGTTCCGGGAGGAGAGGGCCTGGTTTGCACCTCTTTGCTTCCTGACCCCAATTGAACTTAGCTGAACCCCTTGGAACCCATTGGAACTGCGTGACAGCCAGCCTTCCCCTGGGCTCAGTGCCTTTCGGACTCACCAAATTCGATGGAAAGGCGAGAGGAGCCCAGGGTTTCGATGGAAATCTGTGGCTCCGGAAATCGGAAAGGACGCTTTGGTGATGGCACTCGGGTTGGCTGAATCTTATCAAGCCCTCGATGTTTTGAGATGCCTCTCTGGCTGAAAGGATACAATCAAGCCCTTTGATTTTTTGGGGGATGCCTTTTCAGGGAACTTCCCTCGCTTGATTCGAGCCCACGCGTCTATCCTGGCAGGACCGGGTCATGAAGAGACTTGGCAAGCAGTTCTGCGACATCAGCCGTTCGAGCTGAACTTCGACGTTTCCTCATTCCGGCTTGATATCTGTTGGACAGCATGTCTTGGTAAAGACGCAATCAACTACCCGGGCAGATCCACTGAGGAAGAGGTTTTTTGGTATTGAGGCTGGGTTCTGTCTCCGTTCGTGACCTTGTCCGATCTCGGCCTACAATTTACAATGATGTCATATTTCTTGCATTGGGCCGACGCGTGACCACCTTGTTGACAGTTCCTAGGTAACGTTCCGGTCTTTTGGGGGCATTCCACGTTGAGTTGGACTAGCACGTATGCTTATAGTGTGTTCTGTTGTTCTACACTTCAAAAAATCCAGCCGTTTCAGGGTTCGGGAACCAAGATGAAAGCCGCTTCTGCTTTTAAATGCCAAGCGCCGGAATCACTCGGACAAAGCGATGTGTAACCTTTGGGCTTTATCCATGTTCAGCCTTGTTTAATACAGACGCTTCGAACCTGGGCCCCCAACGCGTTGGCAGTTTCATGTTGGTCGTTCGACAGGCATTGACAAGATAGGCTTGGCCAGGCTTCCCGGGAGCGCCAAAGCACTTGGCCGCCTTGCATTTGTTGTCCGGTACTTTGGCAGCAGAAAATGCCACATAGCTCAGCGAGGCTGTGAACTGAAGGGGTGATGGCACTGCAATCATTTGTTGTTCAAATGTTTGTTGTGTATGCGCCATCGTCACTTGTGAGTATAAGTGCTCATCATTGCAGTACTGTGTGTTTGCTCTTCTTATTCGTCATTGTATTACGTCCTGCTCAATTGTTTGTCTCTCTCGCTGCGTTGTTTGCAACGGCGAAGGCAGCGAAAGAATTGACACGGTCGGAACGTTGGAAGTTCAAACATGCGACGCATTGAACTGTTTTGGTGCCTAGGAAGCTCGGGGGTCAACACGGCCACGTCCTTTGCGTTGCTTGGCTTTGCAGGTCCTTTGACTGCTTTCTTGTTGCTCCTTTTGGAACCGGGGAAGCGTTTCAGTCCCCTGAAGTTCCTTCATTTTTTGGGAAACCTGCAGATTGAAATAAGGGGTCCTTGCACTTGTCCAGAGACCTCTCTAACTAATCTTACCTTTTTAACCCCCCCCCCCCTCCTTACAATGGATCCCGTTGAAACAGATGATCCCGGCTTGGAATTGCGTAGTCTTGCTGGGGCCAATTTTGAGCATATTGCTTTAGCTTCCTTTTGAGATTAGATATGAGGGATGTTAATTTCCCTATTACGTGTATAGCTTCAATTGAGTGTCCAATTGGATTTTACGCTTGACTTTGTATTGCTGGAATTGAGATTCCACTTGACTTGTTGAGTTTTCATTTGATTCAGTATTGCTGGATTTGATGTTCTATTTGATTTAGCAATGCTGGATTTGAGTTTTCATTTGGTTCAGTATTGCTGGGTTTGATTTCCAATTTGATTTGGTATGGCTGGATTTCAGTTCCATTTGATTGAGGGCTTCAACATATTATGACTTCGCCCCCACCCCCCACCCCCCCAAAAAAAGCAACACCACAACACGTAACAAAACATACAAGAACTGCAATTTGGCAGGGGCCCCCAAAAGGCTGTGTCTTCTCCTTCTCAAGTACTTCCTCCTTGTAGGATTGATTAGGGCATTTTATTTCAATCACACCATGTAGATAAATTCGAGTTTGCGGCTTGTTGCTGTTTTCTGTTTTCCGAACAGTGTAGTCTTGTCTCTCCCTGTGCCACGTTCCATGTTTTGTTTACATCTCGTTGAGGTTGAGTTTGTTGGGTTGCGGGGGTGTCAGTGGGAGTTATGAATGCTCTCGGTGAGCTGACTGGTCATTGTGCGGGAGGGGCGGGGCTTACGGCTCGGCTCGGAGGATTTGCCAGTGTGAGCAGACAGGTGCTCAAGTTTTCAGAATTTGTCTGCGCGCTGCTGCGGAAACAGCCACCACACACCAAGCTGGCCAGCAAAATTATGTTTTCCCATTAGCCTACCCCAGCATCAGCAATGTTTTTGTTTTTTCGGTTGCTTGTTGATTTGGGTTGAGCTGGGATGAGCTGATTCGCTAGTTGGTTTGGCTCGTTTGCTTTGTTTGTTTGGATTGTTGCTTTGGCTGGTTGTTTGGTTGGTTGGCTGGTCGGTTGGTCGGTTGGTGGCTTGTTTGTTTGGTTGTCCTGATGTTTGTTTGTTTGATTGTTTGTTTGATGTATTGATTTAGTTCTTGATTGTTTTGATTGATTGATTTCATTGCTTGTTTGATTGATTCATTCATTCGTTCATTCGTTCATTCATTCATTCATTCATTCATTCATTCATTTATTCATTCATTCATTCATTCATTCATTGATTCATTGATTGATTGATTCGTTCATTTATTGTTTGATTGATTGATTGATTGTTTGATTGTTTGATTGTTTGATTGATTGATTGATTGATTGATTGATCGATCGATCGATCGATCGATTGATGGATTGATTGATGGATTGACTGATTGATTGATGTTTGATTGATTGATTGATTTATTGATTGATTGATTGATTTGATTGATTGATTGATTGATTGATTGATTGATTGATTGATTGCTTGATTGCCTGATTGATTGATTGATTGATTGATTGATTGATTGATTTGATTTTGTGTTTTGTTCACGTGTTGTTTCTTCATATGTCAAAACGGCCGAACGGCCGTTTGGCTCAAGTTTTTACCTCCCGTCAAGTGGGAATAGGACTCACGCTCGTGCGCCATTCACTGGCAGCTTTCTTCGTCCTCGAGCCGAAAAGGGTCGGGGCCGCGGGCGGCTGGGTGTAGGAGGTGCTCGGTGAGTCGCGCTGTTCTACTTGGGCTTGGTATTGAACTTAATCCTCTTCAACTTGATTTCTAACCTCCCCATACTTCTCCATTGTCAACCGTCACTTCCTCAACCCGGTCATCATCCACAGCTTCACCCGAGTTGTGTTTCCGGGTGCTTTGGGTACATCGTGATCTACTTTGTGCTCATTTGCTTCCCTGGGCTACTTCGTGTTCGCCCAAAACCGCAGGTTATCAGCCGTACCAGCTAGAAGCTGGGGCTGGTGATCCGGTTGCGGGACGTGACCCGCTACCTGCTCCCATCGCCTACTTGTACGAGCAATGGCGTCCCCCGGAGCTTCTCATCGTGGGCCGGGCTTCGTGGACGACGAGGCCAACGCCCTTCGCGGCAACGCCGCGCCTGCTGCCCCCGGCTTAGACAGCCGGCTGTGGCCCATTCCCCCGATGGTGGGCGCAGAGCCCAATCCCGGGGTGATCACGGACGATTGGATCCTTTCTCAGGTTGTGTTTGATGAGGATGCGGAGGCCCCTATCCCGGCGGCAGTGCTCCAGATCGAGGACGGACCCCCTCTAGAAGAGGCTGAGGTTCCTCCAAATCAGGTGCCCTCATCGATTTCGCCTACTGTTCCGTTCGTGGCGCTCCAGATCGAGGACCGGGCTGTCCATCATGCTGCTCATCCGGAGCCGGCTCAATCATGGTCCCTTACATGGGATCAGTTTGACCAACTCCTCGGCAGTGGATCGCAGGCTACACCGCCTGATTTCGGTCGGCTCGACTTTAACTCGGGTGCCCCCGTTTCGGTTGGGAATCTGGATTTTCAATCCCTTTTTGATGCTGATTGGAGGTCTCAGCCTTCCCGAATTGACAGGTCCTTTGATGCCCTGCCGTCGCATGAGCCTACTCAGGGTTTTCCTCATGATGGAGAAAATGACCCCGTTGAAGATTTCTCCCCTTCTCATGTTGCAGGTTCGGCCCAACCCGAGGTGGGCAAACGGGCGATTGAGGATTGGCCGCAAATAGCTGGCCCTCCTCCCGTCTCAGGTTCATCCGACATTGACATCATTCACGATCACCCCAGTCCGGCGGATATGGACTTCATCCCTGATGCAGTATCATCTCACCTGTCAGGTACCCGCGACCGGAATGCGGACCGCTACAACGCTGGTCCGAATCCACCGCTTTCCTCAGGTACCCGAGGTCGGGATGCGAACCGCTACAACGCGGGCTCAAATCCGCCAAATCGGACATCAGGTACTAGTCGATCGGATGCGGGCCGCGA